TATTTGTATATATTGATTATTTTCTCATATCGAATCATATCGATACATAAGATAAATATCAATAATTATCCACTTATTGATATTTATCAAAATATTTAATAACGATACATATCGTTTAATAGCTATATATCGATTATTATCTATTTATCAGTATATATCGATTATTGATATATATCGATATATATCTATTTTATCGATATATACTGATTACTTTTAATCGATATATATTGATAAATCATTATATATCGATATATATCTGTATTTAAATTTTGCTGATGAATATATATATATATCTATAAACTTAATATAACAACTATTTATTAATTTAGATAACACAGAGTATAGTAACTAGCTTGCTTATATTTTTGGCAATATCTTACTTATTTTAAATTATTGCTTCTAGAACTTTAAGCCAATTTATTTTTATTTAAATCATGATTGCTTGCATTAGTAGTATTATATATCTTTCTCTTATATAGTATTTCACCTTCTGATTTATACTGATTAGGTTAGTACCCTTTATGTTATACTCAAATAGAATTACTAACAATTAGATTTTTAATATTTTTAATATTATCTAATTCTCTTTTTGTCTCTTTAATAAACTTTTTAAATATTCGATAAATTCATTAATTTTATTTGTCTGAATTGCATAATTAAGAGTTTTCTTGACATAATCTATCTCTAAACCATATTTTTGTTTAAGGTTTCGCTTTTGTTCAATGTATGCTATTTTTCTGATATTTGAAAATGATTGAATAATAAGAGTTGAGAAGGAAGCTAAGTTAATGTATTTCTATTAATTTGATATACTGGAACTGAGTCATAAATTTGGTTGTTAATTCTAGCTTTCTTATTATTGTATCACTACTATAGAATAAGAATAATATGAAAATATATATTTTTGGAGTAAGATATAACTCTAAAAAAATATTTGCAGACAATACCTCAATTATATATGCTACCAAAATAGATTTTCAAAAAAAAACTCTATTTTATTTCCATTAGAGCAATTTAAAATTTTTTATATACAAAAGCAAATTTAATTTAGGTAGTTATATTCTTTATAATTTCGTCTCTTCAAAAAAAATGTTAAAAATTTTCATCTTTTAAGTAAAATAGATCAAAACAATTTCGTCTTCAAATTTTAATTTCATATTCTGAAATCTAAAATAATTTTGTCAGCATGTATAGCCTTGATTAATAAGCTAAAAGCAAGTGCATAGATGAGATCTATTATCAAGCAAAATAATATATTAAGATATTGTCTGTATAAATTGATATCTAGTTACTTTTCATACTTCATGAATATTTTTAAATGATATATTACTAATCAATGAAACAAATAATGCTTGTGGTTGCTTATAATTATCCTCTTTACTTATTTCTGATTTATATGAATCATTTGTTTTCTAAAAAAATGAATTTTAATTCTTAATTATTATAGTTGGTAGTAGAAATCAAAAAGAAAATTTCAATAGTAAAAATAATCAGCAATTATTGTTAAACTTTCTTTTTTTAAATTTTACTAGCATATGTACTACATATTAAACCTGTATGTATTTATTAAATTTTACTAAATTTAGTATCAGTATAGTTTCTTATCTCTAATAACACAAATCAATTATCAATTAGAAAAATATTGTAACAAAGTGATTGTGACATTTGGTCACATTGCTTTTAGAATATTTGTAGTATCAGATATTCTTTCAATAGCTTATATATTTCAGAAAAATATTCTTCTATTATATTCAGTAATCCTTTAATTAGTATTTCATTTTTGAATTCACTAATTAATGCTCTCTTTGATTGTTTATTAAATATTGCTTGAATTTCTTTGATGATATCAAATAATCTTGAGTATCGATTAAGCTTTTTTTTTTACTAATTTGTTCAAACTTTCTGCTCTTTATATGCTTTGGATTCCTGTAGTGAAATATTTGTTAACTGCAAAACTAGCCCAACTCTCTTTGCAGAAATATAAGATATATGTAAGATATTGTTTGCAAGCAGAATACTCCTTAATAATTTTAGCTCATCTAATTTCAAATTGTTTCTGATATAGAGAATTTTGCATTGCTAAAAATTTTGATCTAAATGATTCAAATTAATCATATAACTTTCCTTTTAAATTTTTTTAAATTTAAACTAATATGAAACATGTAGTGAAAATATGGGTCTCCTAATAATTATTTTGCACTGCTGATATAAGAGCAAAATCTGCATCTGAATATAGTACTGTTAGAGTAAATGCACTGGCTAACTTCAATTTATCCAAAACCCAAGTGAATATTACTTCTGTCTCATCTTTCAACAATACTGCTACTACTATGTATTAAATTTTAAAAATCATTATTAACAACTATAACTAAGAGCAGAATTATATCGAATTGGTTTGTTTTAGATATTATATCAATAACCACAACATCATAAACCTTTTCATAAACACATATTTGTGCTGATAACATTTAAAATAATGTAGTTAATCTTCTATTATAAGAATCAAACTTTGGTTTTACTATTCATGATAAGTTAGTGTTCTTCTTTAGATACAAATTAGTTAATGTTTAACAAGCATCATTTTTTGAAGATTTCAGCTTTTTTATAGTATTGTATTGTATTACTTAAATCCTTTTTGTTTATTTTCTTATCAAGAAATGATTTAACTAATAAATTATATTGTACTGCCATATTTAACCTTTCTTTAATAGTCCAAAATTCAATTTTTTCAAACATTTTGTTAGTTAAACAATGAAATCTTGATATTGTTTCTATAATAAGTGAATTTATAGAGTGATTATATTCATCTACTATACTATTTATCTGAACCCCAATTGCTTTTTTAAAAAATGATAAATTAACACACCAAGAACAACCAACCATCTTAGAGTCTCTATCTTTTTATTTTCTACTAAAATAGCTTTCTTAGCTTGATAAGTATGTGTTTGCATGTATTTAAAAGTTCTATAATATACTACTATATTATTAGTTAGATCAGTAAAAATATTATTTATGAAAGCAAAATTTTTCTTGTTTAGTATAGTCTTCAAGGTATGATTCAGCGATTTTCCATGATTCAAATTTTATGTTTATAGTTAATTTTAATATATCTAGCCTAATACTTTCACTTCTATATCATTATTTTCAGACTTTTTACTATAAATATTGGCTACATCATAAATTTCATTTTTATTATAAACATTAGTAACAATGTTAATTCTATTTTTATCATTGTGAATGTCTATTACGATATTAGGCTCAAAACTATATTCTTGTATATCAATATACAAATTATCTTCAAATAGAGAAAGCAAGAAATAATTAAAAAATGATACAACTCAGTATTAAGCTCTATTAATATGTTGAAAAATAGATAATTTAAGAAGTTGTAATTAAATTTAGATAAATTAGAAAAACAAATTATTGATATGAAACAGATCTTTTTTTTTAGTATTATTTGAGCACAAAGTAATCAATAAAGAAAGTGATTAGAAAAGTGAAAGAGAAAACAATAAGTAATGATCAAATTCAAAAGTGAAACCACAATGATTTGTATCGAGCGAATTTTATTTCTTAAGATTATTTAAACACAATCAAATAACAGTAAAAAGTTAATTGAATATAATGTGATATACAAAGTAAAAGTAAAAGTAATATATAAGATATTAAAAAAATATTATGTTATTGATTATATTGTAGATTGGAACAAGTTTGCAATATATTCGTATACAATTCTTTTAAAAAATAAATTATACTCGTAAGTTAAAATATATCGATTTAACCTCTAATTAAATTTTATAATTTTAACTACTAGTTAAATTTATAATATTAACTCCTTGGTTAAATTTTATAATATTAACCAGTGGTTAAAATTAGTTATATTCTTAAAAAAATTATATTGTACAAAAATTTATAATAAAATTAAAAAAATACAAAAATTTTAGATTGTTTTAGATCTATTCTTGATTTTGGTATAATTAAAAATAATAAATAATAGTTTTTTAAAATAGTTTAAATAAATCTGTTTTTAAATAACATATATCTAAAAATAGTTAGTCTTTTTTATATTTTATATAATAAAATTAGAGTTAGTATAGACCAGTCAATAGTTAAGCTTGACCAGATCAGTTTGACCAATTTAACTAGTTGATCAAAAAGTTTAGTATTAGTCAAATTGGTCAAAGAATATTTAAATCTATAGTATATATATAGAAATTTGTTAAATATAGCAGGTTGTAATATTGCAGATTAATATATATTTAAAAAAAATTTTTAAATTATTATTAGTTAGTGTTAGAGTTCTAGCTAGTATTAGAAGATATAAATATATGCAAAATTAAGTATTAAAAACTTTTAATTAAAAGCCCAAAACTAGTTTACATAATGAAATTTCGAGATATTTAAAACTTTAATTTTTTCTTAATTTTTTTTAATTTTTTGTTCATTTTTGTTATACAAGATTCTGTAATCTAATTGGTTGATCATATTAACCTGTGATTATATAGCAATCTGAAATATTTAACAATATCATATATATATATTATATAGTATATATAAATGTATATATTTATTTTGTATAATAAATTTATTTATTTAATAGACTAGATTATTTGACCAATTTGATCAGACTATTGGACCAATTTGATCAGACCAGTTTGACCAACAAATTTTTGGTTAACTAGTGATTTGACTAACTCTAAATAAAATATATAAAAAATATATAAAAAATTTTACAAAATTAAATAATTTATAACTTTTTATTTGCTAAACCAATTTTTATAATTTTACTATTATTGGAATCAAAAAAATTAGCTTTATAACTTTTATTAAAATTTAAAAAAATTTTATTATATAGAATTTTTGTTATTTATATTTTAGTAATTTTTGTTTATAGTTTTTATAATAGCTTTAATTTTTAAACTTGCTAATATAACTTTTATTAAGATAGCTAACTTTTAAATATACCAAAACAAAATATAAATAGAGAATTACATATTTAATAAATTTAATTTAAAGTTAATAATAATTTTTTTTTACAATTTAACTTTTAAAACTATACTAAATTTAGTACAGTAAATGGATACCTATTAAAGTTTTATTTTTTAATAAACTTAGATTTTATACTTATTTTTTTATATTATAATTTAAAATAATATTTGTATTAAGAAATAATGATTTACACAAAAATTCTAATTTTAAGTAATATACAAAATAATCAAAATAGCTAGCCAAAAAGTAATAGGTATATAATTAGAATATATAATAATAACTTTTTATTAGAATATTTTATTTAATTTACTAATATATATTAATTACAATTTTATTTAATTTCAGATTGAGAAAAAATATTATCAATTGACTAATCTTTAGTATTAATAGAATTTTGATAAATCGTTAAACTTTTATTAACTTCTTGTTCTTGTTGTTCAAAAATACTAATATAAAAGAATTCATCTATTATTAATTTATTATTTATAGCAATATTTATTACTTCAACTTCAAATTTTAGAGGTTCTTCAAATTTCTTTTCTTCAAAAAGATCAATACCAGAATCTTCTTCAGTATTTATCATATTTACAAGATTTGTAGATAAAATTAGATTTTTACATCAGTTAGCTAAACCTATGTTATCTTGTAAGAATACTATATACCTGTCCAAATAAAGAATCTCTCGATCTGTCTCATTATTGCAGCAAAATTATAGTCACCTATAATTAAGCGCTAGAGTATAAC